CTGTGCGGCCGGCAGCAAGGATCGACGTCTCCCCAGCAGCAGCTTCGTCAGCGGCTCGAGAAACGTGGAGTGTGAAGACCCGACGGACCGTGCTGACCATGGTACCCCGGTCAGCACCAACCGAAGAGTCATAGACTCGGAGTCCCGTAACTGCCAGTTTGATATTTTCTGTTGTACTAATAAAATCGAACTCAACGTGTGTCGCAGCGGACACAACATAGTGAAATTGGACACAATAGATACGGTTTAAAACTCAAGTAAATGAAAAACAGTAAAGTTTAAAAGCCGGTATGTGGACCTTTCTAGTGTGTTTGTGAGCGCACATAAACTGCGAGGTTCTTAGGTTACAGGATTTGAAGACTAAAATACCTGGGCATGCCTGCACACAGATGTACACATACGTGTAAGAGCCATGACTTCCCCATTTTGTTAGGGCAAGCTTACCTCAATGGGCTCACGTGTATGTCACGTTCAAATATACGTGAACACGCCTGAGTAATTTCACTCAAGAATCTATCCATACGAAGAGTTACAAAGCTGAAATAAATCCCCACGCCGCTACGCTTTCGGCTTTTAATCATCGGGCTTAAGTCCAGTTAATGTCAAATATAATAAACAAAATTGTGACTTCGAAATTTTGCAGCACCTGTGATGAGACGCCAGAAACCAGCTTTTAAAGCCACTCGCTTCAGTTAGTGACTTTGTTTTTAAGTTTAAGTTAATATTCCAAGTCCACAGCGGAACGAACTACAAGTTTTGGGACTAGAAGTTTTAAATTCATGGCATGTGGAAGCTAGTTAAATTGAAATCAATTTTTGGCTTTGCTTCTATACCGAATTATAATTTCTGGCTTATATTTGAACTGATTTCATGGCTTCAGAGCTAAGCAGAGTGTGAATTTGGCATTACTGTAATTCAAAACCACAGAATGAGGCAGAAAATCATTTAAAAAAATGTTGAGTTATTAGGCTTCTGCAACAGCTATTTTGAATGCAAGATCGCACGGTTTCCCCAGTGCGCAACGCACACCGCTAAGGTGCTCAAGAACTTAGTTAAATATCTGAAAAGCGCTACTAAGCAAAAATACTTCAGAGGCGTTAATTTTGAACCAGTAGAAGAACAGACACCGCCAACAAAAAACACCAAAATGACAGCGTGGCTAGATGAAAGAAATGATACTCAGATGGAACGATATGACTTCTTATTCTGCCGAATAACACGACTCCTAGTACTGTAAATGCCTCATTTAAGATCACCATATTATCCATTTTTTTAAATGGTCAAGCTCACCATTGGCTCATACGCCTGCTGTTCCGAACCTTCAAATCAGCTGTTTTTTTTTACGTCGGGATATGTTTCGCACAAGCTTTTTTGTACCGAAAGTTCTGTAAGCTTTCAAAATCGAACTTTTTCAAGCAATATTTTTCCTTTGCTTTATTTACTGCTTTACTGATTCTGAGCAAATCATTGGGAAGAGACACGTGTCAGGACCACCAGCATCGAACAAAACTGAAAAGTTGTAAGCTACACAACTGGTGAAGCATATCATGGTTTATAGCTGACTCAGATATTCCAAGAATTATTTACAGTTGATCAAGGAATAAAAAACTAAATTTTTGAAAGTCGGAACCGTCCTTTTGCAGTTCGTCCAGCGACAAAAAAATGTGTTCTTATTTACGTTTGTATGTATATATGTATGTAGGCGTGTATGCATGTGCACATTCCCGAAATATGTGGGGAAAAAGGCTCATTTAATCTTCAGAGAAGTAATCAAATTGAAACAACAGTGCTTGATTTGTGAAAATCAATCATTCACAGATTATGAAATTCCGAAAATTTCAACGGCGGTGACATTGAAGAAATGACGCGAGCAAAACCACATTAACGCCGGACATAATTTTGACACGTTTACTGAGAAATCATATGCTGCATCACTTTCATTTTTTCTGAGTACAAGTGCGCACGAGAGCCTCTAGCCTTAAAATTCAGTTTCATTGAGCTTCTTCAGTACACTTTTCAACAAGAAATATTCAGATCTCCTTTCAGAATTTTTAACAATATTATTTATCGATTTTTTGAGCTCCTGGGTCATAGCAGATCTAATTACAATTTTGCTCACAGGCACTAAATGAAATATGAATGATAACAATTTTTTTCCAGCCTGGAATGCACCAGGTTTTCCGATTCGATCGTGCGTTTCTGCATTAAACTTGAAGCAATCAGGTCTTTAACTGTGTGAATAGTTGTTGATTTACAATACCTTACGCTCTCACTGACGCAAATTATCGTAAATTTTGCGCAAAGGAATATGAATGATTAAAGCGTTTTTGCATATATGCAAATGCAGAAATGCATTTTGTGACGGCCCATAGTGTACGTATATGTGTCTAATATTCCGTTTATTATGATTTTTATGCGTTTTTGCATATATGCTACTGCGAAAACGTATACTGTTATGACGCCGGTGTGTGTGTCTGTCTGTCTGTCTGTCTGTCCGAGTACTTCAACTTGGCACCCAGGCAAGTTCCGGCACAACTAGGAACCAGGAAAGCTGGGGGGCTGAAATTTTATGTTCCCAACTCATGTACAACTTAAATTTATCAAATTTAGTCCCCGGACATGCGTAGTTGTCACGTATGGCCCGTGAACATTTTTGACGGGAATACGGATAACTCAGTGACTGGGAAAGCTGGGAACTTGAAATTTTAAGGGGATGTTTCCAGCCTGTGTACACCTTAAATTTATCAAATTCAGCCCCTGTTACGCATGGTTCTCACGAACGGCCCCGTACGTAAAAATTTTTGGCGGGAAAATGGCTAATTCCGAAACCAAGGAAGCTGTGGGGCTGAAATTTTTACGGAGTTCCCTGTCCAAGTACAGCATAGATAATTAACTTCCCGAAATTCGAGGGCCAGTATGCTAAACATTTATAGTTACTGGGTTTTCGAGCGATCTCACTACAGCACGAAACATTACAAAAACGCATGATCGCACGAGCTCACCTGGTGCGCGTTGCCAATGACTTTTTTTTTCCTTAGTGCAATGCGAGAAAGCATATTGTGGAAGGAAGTGGCGTGTGAGCCAGCAAATTTCGATCTTCAAATCTACGATATCTTTAAAGCCGAAATTCTGAAAACTTTGGCTACCTCTAGGTGCGGACTCCCAGGCATAAAATGAACGTTCTCTTCCTCATAATTTTTGCCTTTTTCATCTACACAATGCAGAAACGCATTAGATGGATATACTGTGTGTATGTGTTTGTATGTATGTGTGTTGGTGTGTGTGTGTGAGTGTGTGTGTGAGTATGTGTGTGTGAGTGTGTGTTTGTGTGTGTGTGAGTGAGTGTGCGTGTGTGAGTGAGTGTGTGTGTGTGAGTGTGTGTGTGTGGGTGTGTGTGTGTGTGTGAGTGTGTGTGTGTGTGTGTGCATATGTGTTGTTTGTATTTGTATCTTTGCGTGTCCGCGCATTTCGGTGACTAAATCTGTGTAAGCTACAAAGTCGAAATTTTGGCAACTTAGTCATAACTACGGATCGGTTCCAGTAGCAAAATCAACGCTCACATCCTCAAATAACCTCTGGTTCTTTAAACGGCACTGCTAAGTGGAAGGATTACCGTGGTAAAAATGAACTGTATTTTTCATACACTGGGACACCCGGTGTGTGTCCACAACTCACTGAATCAGTAGCGCACGGCAGAGATTGACAAGGTTGTGGATGACATTGAATTTTTGGGAAAGCCTGGTTTGATCTAATCGTCGTAATCTACTGTAGTAAAAAAAAAATACGAATATTTCAGATTCACTATTTTCTTTTTGTACTGGAATTATAATACCAGGATGTAATTAGATATAGAGTTAAAACTGAAAACAAAGAGTGTAAGGTTTGTCTGAGGAGTAGTCCTGCGCCTAACACCAAGTTGTGCTTGGACTTATCACAATAATTTTAAATTTACAATATGCTCAGCTTTAAAAATACAAAGTTAGCTTAAGGTTAGAAATCAAGCAACAGAAAACGTAAAACTTTGAAGACTGATTCCGCGAAACGTAAAATACACTGTGTAATGAACTGAATATTGAAAATTTCTACAGCTTTATTTGTCTTCGTTTTACCAATTCTTTTGAATTCTAACCCGAGAATAGACTACGATAATAAAGAAGAGAACTGATTTTAAATTGGTAGCCTCAGTTATATAAAATCGGCATTATGCTCTTAAAACTTTAGCTCTCCAGTTTCCGTTTTTATATATATATGTACGTTTGCATATATACATGATTTTACCAAAACGCATTTTTTTTTACACAAACCGTGCAAAAACGCATCAGCAATGACTAATTTTAGCTATTGATTCCCACAAGACATTGTATTTAGCCGGTAATGTCCAGCCAGTTTTCAGCTGATGATGGTATTCGTAACACTGATGATAATGATGGTCACATATGAAGTGATGATTTTTATGAATCACTGGTGACAAAAAGTCAGTCCCATGATTTCCCAGCCCGTTAGTTCGAATATGCTAATTGTCAGTGATAAAATCTCGCAAAAGCGATACACACAGATTTGACAGTGTTAGTTCATTTTTGGAGCTCTAACAATGTTGGCCTGCAAACAGCTGCTGTTTTTATGGCCGCTTTTGCTGTTACTGTTAAGTAACAGCCTGGCTCAAAAGCGACGAATTCTAAGACTGATGACACCGTGGGCCAACAAAGCAACCGATGATGGCCAGAAAGCATTTCAGTCCATTGTTGATAACGAAATGCAACATATCAATACTATTTATAAGAAACTTGGCGACTGGGCCAATCAGCAAGGACCTGATTTCGTGGTATGTTTCGTTTTCAAATATTGTTAATCCATGAGAAATGATGATAGTGGTTCATTACGATAAAGGCGAACGGTGTCGAGACTAAAATGGTAACGAAGATGCGTGTCCGAACGCGCGAGACAGGCATACGCTAAAACTCATCTTGCACCTGCTTGCCTTTGTGTAGAAAACATTTGTCTAGGTGCAAAATGTTCGTGTAAAGCATACTCGTGAAAAGTTAATGCGTTCTAATCAGCTTAATCCTCAAGTTGGTATTTTCCCAAAGATGTTTGGATTCGAACTTCGACTTTTCAGTACGTGTGACACAGGCGTGCACGTCAGCTGAATTTGAAATCTTTAGCCCACAAAAGAACAGAGTAAATCCCCGTGGAATTCCAGCTTCTTATCTTGCCTGTCCTTTGAAATAGTTTTCCCTCCAAAATATTTATATGTTTTCTTTCCGATATCCGTACTTTAAAAAAGTGTGCGTAAGCGACAATTTTAAAATGGGAAGGTCGTGCACTGTGGTAGGAAAATGTTTCAAAAGTTTCTTAATTTCTCTGATTGCTGAGTTGAAAGTGGTTGACAAAGTGCAAACACAGACATATACGCATGTACATACATATATACATACATACATACATACATACATACATACATACATACATACATACATACA